TACATACAGACACGAACCATGCAGAAATAAAAGATATGCTCAAACAGCAGAACAAGTTCAACATTAATAACTGGACTCATACAGGTCTACTCATTACTCTGTTAATGCTAGGGCTAATCGTAATGACAATACACTGTTTATTATGTACTTGTTACCTATCAGCACTGATTTTAGCCCATAGGATGCATGGAATTGCAACAAGCAGCGCATGCTCAAATAGATCAACAGATACAGCAACAGTAGTTCTTACCGTTCATTCTACAAAACTATCAAGCTTGTACAATATATTTACAAACAATAAGTCCTTTACCATAAAATAATCGTGATTAACAAAAATAGTAACAATGCATGAAATTAAATTTGAGTTACATCAAGTAAAAAAAAAACACAATGAATATATGAAACAACAGTAGGTACAAAATCAACAGAAACTAAAAATATTGAAATGAATAAAAATCTGAACCATGAAATCAGAGATCTTAACTCGAACTTAATAAGTTGAGGTAAATAGATATTTTACTGTTTTAATTTGTTATTGTAAAAGTATTCTTACAAAACAACCAACTACCGTTGTACTTAGGGATGTCGTGCCAAATCTTTTGTCATTAGTCGTCGATGAAGTAAAAGTTGCTGTTAAAAAAAGAAACCAATGACAACAACAGGTACCAAAAATTAATTTTAAAACTTTATACAATCCTTACACACTAAATACTGTAATATTTAGAAAAAAACAAAAATGAAAATCTACAAGGCAGTACAAGCCGTTATATATAAATTGGCTGTATACAGTCATTCGAACAAATATATATACGGTACATCTTAACTTCATTCAACACCCTTGAAACTAATGACGTTATACGTACGTCCTCTTATAATAACTGTAATGTTCAATACCTTTACTACATCGCTTTATACAGCACATACTTTAAGTAAATATTCGATATTGTGTGTGGCCCTTCCATCTAGATTAAATTTACAACAGCAGTGTAAGACGACCGATCATGCTAATGAGAACCAGCAGCAAAATGATAATAAGAAACAAGGTTTAATCAACGCTATAGTTAATCACAACAACAAGATAAAGAACGTCGACAACAAATTCGAGTTTATCGTCAATAACTACGCTAATTGAAGCCATGCGAAGGAAATCATGGAAAAAACAAAAGGAATACAAAAGCGTGTATGTGGTATCCCTCTTGCGCATCGATCTAGGCGAGAACTTTTATTGGTGACTGTTAGTTTTAGTGCACTAGGGTAAATCCTAATCAAAATCGGAAAGAAATGTGTCGGACTCAGTCAAATACAAACCATTCGTGAACTAGCAAATGAACATCAAAGTAAAGTACCTTCTATCAGCGAACAGGTATAAACGTCCAGAAACAATGCTAATGTGATAGTCGATGTAGCAATCGATCATATACAGCAACAACCAAACAAGCACAACAAACAGTTGAACAATATGATGCATAGACTGGAGCATAGTTCTTCTTAGATGAATAATCCGGTTTATGTTAAACAAAAACTAATTGCGTCATGTGTGCATGTATCTATAAGAAGTGAAATTGTCACTTAGTTAGATACTACTATGTCTCTATTGAGCCTTGAGAATCTCTCTTGAAGAGGTCTTGTTGTTCTCTTTTTTTCGCTTTTCATATCCCAGGTGATTCGATCCGACTGTCGGATTACGTCGGATTATATCGGATTATATCAGAAAAATTACCGGATTTTAACGGATCCGACGGGAACTCGTCGGAAGTTGTCGGCGTCCTAGCCACAGGATTCCGACAGGAGGTTCCGGATGTCGGAATAATCAGGATCCTGCGAAATCCCTGAAACTCCGACACTTTCCGACATCCAGAACCACTTGTCGGAATCCTATGGTTAGGATTCCGACAAATTCCGGCGAATTTCTATCGGATTCGACAGGGTGAATTCGACCTGGGATATATCTTCAAGATTGCTTTACGCTTCACTCTTTTGATATGACTGCTTCTGTTTTATCTTTCTGTGCCCTTGTTTTGATTTTTGTTCGTTTGTTTGTCTTTCCTTTTTTCACATTTGGTCTTTTGTGTATCTTATTCTATCTGTCGGTTCTTATCTTTTTCAATTCAACTTGCACCTGTTACAAACCGTCTTTAAGCTCTATTGTCCTTTTAGGACCGTCATGGTCATAGGGCTAATAATGCTTAACTAAAAAACTTAAAATGAAGAGTTAGCAATTATATACAATTTTACTCAAGAGCATTTTCAACCAATGTGACTCAGCCATGAGTCAAGTGATTGGATTGCTATTTACACAAGGCAGATAGAAAATTCAAATCGCACGGCCTAGTGGAATTTTTGATAAATATCTTCTTGAACAGTAAATGTACTGAAAATGATTTGATCCACTATATAGAAGCAGAACAAGGTATTCAAGTTATTCTCAACGACTAAGCAAAAGAAGTTCTAATAAAATTAGCACATGTAGATACTGAATATCATCGAAATCAAACTTCAAGGTCAGTTGCACAAAAAAAGTAATTTATGCTTTTAAAGTGTTTTTTTTAGAAAATCAACCATTGACGTATATTTTGTTGATCTACAAGCTCTTGATTATGATATTAATGATCTACTTCGATTGCCAATTACTGAAATATATCAAGTTTATTTTTTAATATTATTGAAAATAAAATCCAATTTTCTTTCTAAATAAATGTGTTTCTCGTAAATAAAATTGCATGAAGACATTGAGACTGATTTTTGTTTTTGTAGAGAAAATGTTAGGTTCAATTGTGATAATTTTAAACAACATTTTCAGGATATTGCACTTGAATCTATTCTATGCGATACTCATCACGAACCATGTGGCATTGGACAAGGTTTAGATGCACAGACAAAATACTTAATTAAGAAAATATGTTTAAGTTGATAATAGATTGTTATTCTTGAACATAAATTAACTATGTACTCCAGTTATTCAACTATTCTTCATATTCATGCAGTTATTGCTGAAGTTCAATTAAAAAAGTTATTGACGTTCATTGAGCATGAAACCAGTAAAACAATTGAAGAGCATCCGAAATTTATAAAACAAGTTCAAGTAGAATTAGCAAGAGTTAAACTATCACAAGCCAGACAAATTATCTGTACGGCAGCATTTCAGCGTTCGCTTTAATTTGATCGATTTACATTAAATGATGTATTCTTTCTAATAATAGATGATATTTAGCAAAGTTCTCATACGACCCCAACAATATCATCATAACCTTCATAAAATAATGAGATGATATTTTTAGACGATATAGAACAAACCAAGTTAATTGATTGTCTGTGAAATAATCTGAGACTTGATGCATCAGTTTATCATTGACAATTATCTTTTTCTAGTTTCATAGAAGATGCTCAGATATAGAATGATCTTATAGACCATTATCTTCCACGAATCAAAGACAAGAATCATTAACTTTACAATTCAAAAAAAGTTCTAAAGGCTTAAATATATTTATTGGAATATTTTCATGGATAATAAACGAGGAATTGATGAAAAAAACGGAACTGATATGCTCGTTTAATTAAGTCTATTGTTCCAACCAATATGGAAAAGATAATTTATTATTCATCGATCATAAAATATGATTCTCATCCATGATCAGACAAATTTTTTAAACTTCTTTGAAATTCACCTTTACTCTCAAATTCAATAAAATATGATATTGATTTTTGACGAAAACTATTTTCTTCAAAAAAAATCACGTATAGCAATCGAAAAATATTCTTTTTGTCCGATTCTCTATAGATGATTATTCGAACAAGCCAATATAATTTAACTTCAAAAAGTTTTGAAACAAATAGGAAACGTACTTTTTTTATTCTATCGGAAATTTTATTGAAAAAATAAAGCTTGTGCACTTTCTAAAAGTAATCAATGAAAATATTCGTTCTAATTAAAAGAGTTTATGGATGATGAATATTCATCTATGTGAATTGATCGGCAATTGAAAATCGAATATGTTTAAAGTGTAAAAAGTGTTTGAATGTCCAATATCTAGACCGTACATTTAATTGATATAGATATGATCAATCAATCAGAAATAACAGAATGCGCAATGACCAATCGATAAATTCCCTTTGGAATATTTGAATCGTTCGATTATTTCTCATTTGATTCAACTATCAAATTATGTTACTTTATCTTTTCCTCTTAAATATTAAACAAAAATTAAATTTAAAACATTTTTTTTTATTTCTATATAACAATATTTTCAAAAAAAATTTTTTTAGATTTTTTCAGATAAAAAAAGACATAGAACATGTTTCGCACGTTTCTCTGTATTGTTGTTCAATTTTTTCCTGTATGAACAGATTAAATTAATTCTTTCATCGACTATTTTAATAATCTTCCATTTTTCTTTTATTTTTCATTTGACGTTTTTATATTTCTGCTTTAATACTCTATAAGAAAGGCAAATTAAATGAGATTCATACTTTTTTTCCTTTTTTTTATTTAATGTTAATCATAATATTATGTTATCTTATACAGTAGAGATTTCATTATCGAATGAGTATGTCTCGTTGTCTTATTCATTTTCTCATTCAATTCTATTAGAGAACTAACTGTAATGGCTTGATCAAATTAAATACATCGAGACAAAAAAAACAAGATTAGGGTCACAACGACCAAAGTCGCGTTGACATTATTGTCTCTTTGTCTATTGCCTTTTTTCCAATACGAGTGGAAGAAAAAAAAAGAAAGAAGAACCGTTAGTGTGATTCGAGCGGCGTCATTCATTGCATAATATGCTAATAGAAGTCATCGTCGTCGTTCATCGTTCACAAGTCATTTCCATAATTTAAAAAATCAAACGACACATCGTCACATATCCAAACAGACAGACAATGATCATCACTACATTTTCTTTTTTTGCTTTTTTTGTAAGTTTTTTTTTTCTTTTCTTTGATAATCAATTCATTGATAAATTCTTATTATCCTTATTAAATAGTATTATTTATCAATAATAATGATGGCTATTGGTTCTCCTGTATCATCAATATTATTGAAACGTTTAAGAACACATAAAACAATTCAATTTCAATCAAAATTGAGTTCACCAATTGAAAATAACGTCAATGAAGGTTCAGCATTTCATTTAACCTGTTCATTTTTATCAAATTTTGATAAAATCGATATATATTGGTTTCATAACGGAACTTTAATTGAATCATTTATTTCAAAAGTATTTTGTCTTCTTTCTTAGTTGAAAAAACTTTTTTGTAATATTATTTTTGTTTCAATTAGAAAAATTTGGAAGAAGAAGATGATGATGTTGAAGATTCTTTTTTGGGTGTTTCAATTATATCAACAATAAATATAGAAAAAATATCATTTGATATGAATGGCTCTTATCAATGCGTTGGAGTATATCAACATATTCATGTTCAACACACATTTCATGTTCATGTTAATACAAGCCGTAAATTTTTATTGAATATTAAAAAAAAATCATACTTTTACTTATTTCTTATTAGAGAATAATTCTTCGATGAAAAATTCTTCTATAGATTCATTTATTACTGGTAAGTTGAGTTGGTTTTCAAGTTGAATGTATATATATATTAAGAAATTCTAGTTCATACATCTCAAGCTTTATTTGAACCTCGCAATTATGTATCATTAATGTGTCGTTTTGCTTCCGATCGAAAAGATGAATGTAAAACAAAATGGTTTAATCCATATGATAAACCATTAGATACATTTAATGAGACAACAGATTTAATTTTGCAAAATGCTACTTTTGATGATTCAATGGGTTTATATACTTGTCGAATTTGTTGTTCAAATCAATGTCAAGAATTAACATCTTTTGTTTATCCAGTAAGAGTTTTAATTAATATTTCATTTTTAGTTTTTTTTAACTAATTTATTTATTTTTCAGGCTGAACAAGAAAGATAAGTAAATATAAAAAAAAAAACATTTCTCTATTTAAAAGAATTCCTTTTATGTAAATCTTTGTCTGTATATTTGTTTCTACTATTGTAGTATTATCTCTCCTTTCTTATTCAAGAAATAAAATAAGAACAGATTTAGAAAACAAAAATTAATCAAGAATAATAAAAATTTTTTTTTTTTTATTCATAAAGAGAACAAATAATTGATTTATCATGATGACTTAACAAATCCAAATAAGAATATTAATTTCTAATTGATTTTCTTAATGTAATATATAAGCACCAATATGTTCAATCAGGTTTTTATTTAGATAAAAAACATTCTATTGAACTAAGATAGACATTAAGATATAGTGACTAAAATATTTTCAATTATTAATTAATATCTATATTTAATTTACTTTTTACATTAATCAATTCATAAAGAAAAAATAGTTTTTGTATCAGTATTAAAATAAACCAAAATTTAGTCTTTTTGAAAAGATTCTTGTAAGAAAAAAAAAGCATATCATGAAAGAGTATATAATGATCATAGTTAGCTAAGTTTAAATGGATCTACATCAGAAAAATTCATTTTCAAATCAATAAATCAATTTAATCGATATTTATTTGTCAAAATCAAATTTTTATATTCGAATTTATTTAAGAGAAACTTGATAGTTTTAATTGAAAATTATTTCTAAATTTTTTTTCTATATATAGAATAATAAAACTACTTCGATGATAATATTTTTTTCCCCTTCAGATTACTATCTTAGGTCACTTTGTTCCGTTTTCTACTCCAGAAATCAATGCAGAAAACCTTGACAGTTATTTCTTCTGGGAATCAATTTATCACTCGGTCAAAATAACAACAAATAATTGAATAGAAGTCATTTCAAATAGATAATTTATGGATAAGTGCTAGATGACAAATAACCAAGATTTTTTTTCAAGGTTTTATCAAGTTCATGGTGACATGTGAAAGAAACATAAACGATTAAATAATTATGATTAACTTTAAAAATGTATTCATTTTAATTGGAATAAAATAAAAATCCAATGTTTTTTTTTAATAATCTATTATCGAATCATTTTCTATTTATTCCCTGTTTTTTTTGTTGATTTATGTTAGATGAATTCTTCCGACAAATAAAATAGGATATTAAGTCATTGTTCAAAACAATTTCACAGCAAATAAATAAAATTGAAAGAAATCAATTAAAACAGAGAAATTAGAAAATGCAGTACAACTGTTAGATCTTGAAATCATTTTCGAAACTTCTATTCAATTAAACATTCAGTTTTCCTTGTTTTTTTTATTATTCTTAACAGAATAATGAATCTGTCATGAGAGAGTAAAAATCAAGAGACAATATTTTGACAGATTCAAATGCTACAACTGTCACTAGAAAATCATCTCAACTGAACATAATTCAATCAAGACAAACAATAATCAAAAATAATCTCGCCATATAGTTATATATAAACACTGATAAATCGAAGATGAATTATCAAAAGAACCTGTCATAATTACGCATCATGCTCGATTATTATGATCTATTTTCTCACTAATATAGTTCATTAACAAGTGTTTTTGATTGTATCTGACGAGGTGACGTTTTCAAGCAATCAATCGCTTTTGAATTCGGATTCTGTACATAAGACAGACTTCAGTGAAATATATGTATAAAAATACAAAAGGATAAGTTCTCTTGAATCTTTTGCCCAGATTTACTATAGGCATTTTACTAGAATTTTAGCCTCGGGTATGACATGTATCAAAAACTCGTATGAAGATATTTCAATCTGATAATGTACCTAGAAAGAAGTCTGATTGCCAGTAGACTATCTTGAAAATATCGGCTCAAAAAAATGTTTTCTGTCTGAAATATGAAAGCCTGCAATATCACCGATATTCTATAAAAGATGCGAGAATTTTCGTTTTTTTGAACTTTCATAGCTCTGGAGGGTAACGTTCTTTTAAGTGAAAATTTTCAGGATAGTCTACTTATAAATAGACCTGTCTATAGGTAATATTCCTGGTTGAAATACTTTTATTCGAGTTTTTGGTCCATATCATACTACAGACTAAAATTCCAGTACACAGCGCCTATATCTTTGAACAGAAATCTCAAGAGAATTTATCTTTTTTTGAAGTTTTTCATATTTCAATAGAGTTTACTTTATACAAGAGGCCGAGTTCAAAATTGATTGATCAGTTCAGGATGTTCTCTAGTAAAACACTAGATGAACAACCAGTTATTTCACCAAATTCATACAATTCCTTTATTGCAACTTATTTATATTTATTTTAGTAATCAACAAATCTATGAGCAATTGTTCAAAGTGACAAGTGAACGTATATACGTTATGATTAACAAAGGCTTATGAGACAAACAGCTCGATCTTGCCAATGTAGGTATTTCATTATTCACTACTTCGTCCATTTCATCTTGACAATTCATTGTTTCCTACATGAACGATGGCAATAGTATCCTCATTTGGTCATTCCTCTCGACTTTCTCTTCGAGACGCTGTGCCACATAACTTTCGTTCGTTCGAAGTGAGCCAGTTGATAGATCTAATTAGAAACTATTAGGAAAATTTTTAAGCACTTGAACGAAACATATGAACAAAGAGACTAGCGAATACACAAGATGAAGTAGAAGTAAAACGAGAAAACTATTTGAGGTCTGCATAAAAACCTTTCAAACATCGTTGCATTACTTAATATATACTCCTGTAAGAAATTGTTCGACATATTTCAAAAGTAATTTCCAACGTTGATGAAAACACTAAAGAATTGTTAGATAAAACAATCATTATAATAGAGGGCCAAGTTGAATTATTGTAGAGAGAAGTTGACATAAAAGATAAGCAATCAGATGAAAATGATGTTTTGACAGAAAAAATAACGATAGGTAAAACAAATCAATTTGTCTACTAACATAATCGATGAATAATCTTCACCCAAATACTTCCAGCTGTTCTGATGTTTATAATATAGCTTTAAACTCTGTTAGAAACATTTAAAAGATTTGAGGTAAACAATATCTCAAATAAGGATTACCAAAGAAATGTTCGGCTTCTGTCAGAATGTTTCTCGTCCTCAATTTCCTGCAATATCATTAAGCAAGAAAAGGATCACAATGACCAGAATGTGTTCACAGTAAAAAAAAAAAAAAAAAGTAGTTAGTTTCCCTAATTTTTATGGTGTATAGAGACTGAACTCGAGAAGATTAGAAGTTCTTGAAATCATTAATAAATTTGATGCATCATTTATCATGTGCACGAAAGTAGGAGAACAATGACACACCAAATCAATACCAGACTTTAATATATTTTACGAGTTGGCTAGAAATGAAAATTAAGGAATAAAAATCAGTGTCAAAATAAAAATGGATCGAGTAGTGATAGACACCGTAAGATCTGTCAAATATCTAAATTGGATCATAAAAGTTGAAGATACTCTTAGTATTTTGTCGATTTTATCGTTATCAAGAAGCAGCAACAATTTTCAAAAATATACTATTAGATATGGAATTCAACGGACTATATTATAGTATACAAGAATTTTTTGACAAAGTATTAATTATAATGATTTAATAATTTTTTTTATGAATTACTAACTAGAGACATGCTTTGTCAGAAATTTATATCTTCAAGTATACTATTATAAATAGTTATTACCAAACAAAAATACAATGTTATTCAATTTTCGATGCTCTTTTTAACAGTATACTTGAAGATTAAAATCTTTAACAAAATATATCTCTAGTTAACAATTAATAAAAATTATTAATTAATAATATTACATTGTTATAATTAACACTTTGTCAAAAAAAATTTCAGTATATTGTAGCCAGTTCGATTCTACATCTAATAATATATTTTTGAAAATCGTTTCTGTTCTTTTGGTAATGATATGATCGATGAAATTCTAAGTGTCTTAAGCGCTGCTCTGTTAGAGAAAAAATAAAGGTTCCTTCTTATTGTTCACACTACAATCAATTAGATCAGAGACAGGTAATCTGTGTGGATCTTGATTCTGACTTTATATATCACTCAAAATAACTACCTCCTTTCTTCTCATAGAAAATACTGAAATAAAGTGTCTTTGACTTGTATGGCCCAGTTTATATATTGTACGGATTAAAATAACTGTATTTTCAACAACAAAAACAAACGAAAGAAGTTACTATTTTCTAGATAATCCGATATAATCTATAATCTGGATACATCAAAAATAACTTTGGCGAAAACTTAATGAGGCGATAAAACCAGCATATGAAGATCTGAAGGTGGTTTTTCGTGTTCATATTTGAATTAAACATGGATGATAACCTTTGATGCAACAGCTATCAATGAGAAAACGATTATGCAGTTGAAAAAGTTTCTTCGTTCGAATAAACTTGATCATTGTGTGATTATAGGTTGTGTCTTTCGTCATTGAGCAAGTTTTATTCATGTATAGAATGAATGAATGATAATTTTTTTTCTGTCAGCATGTTTTTATTTGTTCGTGTCTGGTTATAAAAGGATGTTCCATGTAGAAGATAAAAGGTTAAACAAAAGACAAACAAACCTGGGTTCTTTTCAAAGACAAAACACATTGGAAAACACATACAAACAAATCGTGCAGAAAAAAATAGCAAGGAAAAAAAAAACGAATAGTCACTGAATTTGATTTATTCACGAAGTATTCCGATGTTTGATAAATGTGACAATAGCAAGAGTAGTAAAGACAGCTGTACCTATAGCAATATATGGCCACCAACTGTTATTTGTATTATCAATCTTAATTAAAAAAAAAAAAGCAAATAATAAAATTGAATAAAATTGAATATGAAATAGTTGTAAACCTGATTAGTATTATTTATTTGACGTTTTTCTGTTTTTGGTCTAAACATACGTTGATAAATTTCTTTTTCATTTTTTTGATAATTAGCCAATTTATTTTCACAAATTTGAATCATTTCATTAACTTTTTCTCTATCACTAGCTGAATTTGGATTTCCTTTTTGAATTTGTATAAATAATTTTAATGGTTGAATAGCTTTATCATATAAACCTAATTGAAAAAAAGCTTTTCCTTGTCGAAATAAAGCTTTAACATTTTTTGGATCATGTTTAAGAACATTTTCAACAGCATGTAAACAAGCATCATATTTATTTAAAAGTAAATTAACTTGAGCAACATTATTTTCTACTTGAATAAAAGCATCATTTAATATAGATCGTTGATCTTCATTAAATGAAATTAATATTGGATTAATATCTGTATCTAAAAAACGAAGAGCACCATTATAACATTGAAGAGATGTTAAATAATCTTGACGACGATAATGAAAATTTCCCATTTGTCGTTTTTTATCTCCCCAATAAAGTCTTTCATCAATTGATAATTTTTGAACATCAGGTGGACTTTGCCAATCATGTAATTCTAATTCAATTTTCATTCTATAGGAATTATTTGAAGATACAGGTGGAATTTGTTTTTCTAGACAACCAATATCACCATAACAATGTCGAATATCACTATCAATTAAAGCACATTCACCACGATCCATTGTTTGAACACATATATCAATTGCTTGTATTATATCACCTTCACTTGCAAAAAATCTTTCATTTGATACATTTTCAATCAAATGAATATTTGAAGTTAAATTATCAATTAATGATAATTTATATGAAACTGTTACCATTGTACTACGTGTTGGACGACTATTTAATTCACCTTTAACTATTGTCTAAATAAACAAAAAGAGTTTTTTTTTCTTTAATTTTATTATTTTTTTACTTGTTTAAGTAAAGTTTTATTTCCAAGAATATCTTCAAATTCTGATGAAATTAATTTACTATTTGATAACAATGATTCTTCTTCTTCTTGTTTATTTAAATTATTTGATTTTCTATCAAGTTTTTCTTCAATGTCTGTTGATGTTTTAGTTAAATTTGTAACAATATTATCCAGAATATCATTTTCATTTTTAATAGTTATATCTTCAATTGATTCTTTTTCTAATTCAATTCTTTCACTACTTAAATCATTTGAATTTTCTTCTAATGTTTCACTTACAACATCCGATAATAAAGATAATTCTAATGGTATAGTTATTTCTTCATTTTCATAATTATCTTCATTTGTTTTTTCAAATTCAGTTAAATGATCATTATTAATTAAATTTGATTCCAATTTTATTGACGAATTCTTCGTTTCATCGACTGGTCGAATATCAATTTTATGATAATCTTCATTTATTTTTTCAGATTCTATTGAATCATGATGATCCATCGAGTTTGATTCAACCTCTATTGAAGAATCATTTGTCTGATTAACTATTGATTCAACTAAACCAGTATCATTTTCATGATGATCTTCATCTACTTTTTCAGGTTCCATTGATGGACTATTATCAGTTGAACTTGTTTGAGAGTCTATTGAAGAACTATTTGTTTGATCGTGGGTTGATTCATTTAAAGGAATATCATTTTCAGGTATTTTTTCAGATTTATCCAATGGAAGATGATCAGATAAATTTGACTTAGATTCAGTCGAAGAATTATTTGTTTGATCAACTGTTGATTGAAGTAAAGGAATATCGTTTATATTTGTTTCGACATTTGTTGCTGTTTGATTAATTGACAATTCAACTGAAGAAGATTCATTTATTTGATGATCCTGATTCGATATTTCCATTTCTGTTTCAATATGGTTATCAATTGTTGATTCTGATGGAATAATATCTATTTTTTGTTTATCATCATCTAATTTTTCAGATTCATTTAATGAACTATTATCATTTGAACTTGATTGTGATTCTATTGACGAATCAGTTGTTGCATTCAGTATTGGTTCAACTATAGGAATTTCATCTTCATTTGCTTTGTTAGATTCATTTAAAGGACTATTATCAGTTGAATTTGATGTTGATTCTATTGATGAATCGTTTGTTGAGTCAACTGAATGAACATTATTATCTACTTTTTCAGATTCATTTGAAGGACTATTATCATTTGAACTTGATTGTGATTCGGTTGAAGAATTATTTGTTTCGTCAAGTATTGTTTCTGTTGGAATAAGATAACTTTCATGATGATGTTCATATGGCGTTTCAAGTTCTGTTAAAATACGATTATCATCTATGGTTGAGTGTGTGACTGTTGAAGATTCGTCATTATGATGATTAATTGATATTTCATTAAATTCTGGTTCAGCTGAAGGAATATCATCATCAGATTGACGTTGTGATCTAGATAAAATTCAATAAAATAAGTTTGATCTAAAATTTTTCATTGATAATCGATTGACATAAAACAAAAATTGTAGTTTTTTAGAAAGACAAATTAAATTACGAAGAATTTTTTTATTTCTTTTTTATGACGAAAAAAATTTGTTGATGTGAATCTGTGTTCTTTTGTATTGGTTAATTATTTAATATAAAATAGCAAAATATTTATTATGAAGTTTTATGATATTTGATAAGAGAAAAATAAAAACAACTAATTTTCTCAATAATTAACTAAAAGAGGAATCGAGATCATCTGATAAGATTTCGAAATTATCTTATCTATATTTAATCTGTCATAGTCATACGTATAGATAAACAAAACGTAGGCAAATTTTGAAAAATATAACTAGAAAGTATGACGTCCATAATGTGTACAAGAATGGCAATGTTCGAATAACGATACAAATGAGTTTATTATGAAAAAGAATTTTAATGTTTTATTTATTTTTTTGAGTAAATTATTTCAATAGGTTTATTGTTTTTAGTTTCGATAAAAGAGAAATCCAGTTGATATTTGTTCAATGTAGAATTTCAAATTGAATCTATTAGTTTCTATCAATAATTAAAAATTGAGAAAATTTGCTTCATAGAACTTACTAAAATATTAATTAGAAGTTTAATTTATCGATTAAAATTAAGAACGACTATCAAGTTAAGTTTAGAACGATTTTTAATTTTACTTTGTCTTTTCTATAAATAGAAACAAGTCAATTATATTAGTTTTGAAACTTTTTAAAACATGCTTAAGATAATCATACTGAAAATTTCTCGAGTAGATACCGAATCTAAGCAACGATGAAAGTATTTAGTGATTATCATCTATAGTTACAATCATTCTGACTACTAAGAGTTTCTTTTGATGAGTCCGCTTCTATCAGAATCCCATGTAAGACACTACTTGTTACATGGAAGTCATGTCTCTTATACTATCAACTTAATAATAAAATAGAGTTAAAAATAAAACTAACTTGAATGGATCTGGTTGATGTTGAATATTTGATAAAAGTTGCTCGACGGAAGACAAATCCGCATGATTTTGATTAATTGCAGTATTAAAATGTTGAGAAGAGATTGGATTTTGGTTAAATGAGTCTTGTTGGTTATTTATTTGTTTTTCATCACTCTCAGTTGAAAAATGAATAAATTCAGAATTTAATGGTGTTTCTTCGCTAGAATCGCTTTGATTTAAAGAATTATCTGATGTTTGAATATTTGATAAATTTTCATGAAGATTTGTTTGATCATGAATATGATTTCTATTATCATCTGTTAACAATGTTTCTTGTTGATTATGTTCAGAAGAAGATGAATGATGGTATACATAATTATCTTCATTTGATAAAGAATTCAAGGTTTCTTTTTTATCAGCAATATCCATATGACTCTCGTCACTCATATTGACGAGTTTATTTCAAGAAATTCAATCTAGAATTAACAATAAAGAAAAACTCTAATATAATATATTATCTTTAATGACTATTTTTGTTTCTTTGTTTTTCTTTTTCTAAATCTGACAGAAATAAAAAAACAAAAAAAAAACGAAACATTTTACTTCGATGATCGTTGTGAAGATGAATTAGTTTTATGATGTTTATGATGAAAATCATTTAAAATAAATTCTTTATTTTGATGATTTACTTTTCTTTTTGATGAAAATGATACTGGTGGATCATAATCAGTTCCAACATCATTAGTTAAACGTCTTTCTTCATCCATTCGAATTAATTTAAAACCTAACATTGAAAATGTTTCATCAGAAAAATCTTCATTTGTTAAATTTGCACAAGAAATTATTTTTTTTAAAGCATTTTTAACTTGTTCATAACTAAAAAAAAACAAAAAAGAATGTTTTTGTTTTTTGAAATAAATATATATATATATATACCGTTGTTGAATTTGTTTAGTTTGTTGATCAAGAATTATTTGTCTTTCAGCTAATCTTGCATGTTCACCTCGAATTTGATGAAGACTTTCTTTAATTAAATGATATTGTTTAATTAATGTTGTTTGATGTGTTTGAAGATTTTTAAATTGTTCTTCTAATTCATTATTTTCTTGTTCAACTGTATTACAAATTGATTTTAATGAACGTTCACTTTCTTCATATGTTCGAAGTGCTTTTTCAAGAACATTTTCTTTTTCAATTTTTGAAATTTAATAAATTAGATAATAAAACATATGTTTAAAAGAAAATAAAAACCTACCTACCGATGAATGAGAACAATCCATTATATTTAACTTATTAAAGAAAAAGAAAAACGAATTCAATTCAATTTATTTCAGGCGAAATTCTATTGAATCATTGTTTTTAAATTCAATAAAATATGGATTTTTCTTATAACAATTAATTCAATTTATTTTGAAATGATATTTAGTCAATTTTATATTTATTTTTTATTTTATTAAATGATTAAATTTAGTTTTATTCAACGAAATAAAATGAAAAATCTAATTAAACTCCATCTATGCTCTTTTTTTTTTGTCTCAATGGTTCATTGAAAAATAAAACGACCAATCATTGTTATATCATATGTCGTCATCATCAACTCATAAATTATCGATTTATATAAATAGATGTGTTCTGTTGTTTTTCTCGTTAGATGAGGATTTTTTTTTTGTTTTGTTAGGAATAAATAAATACTTCAATTTTTCTTCCTAGATAAAATCTCTTTAATAGACAGCAGGATGATATTTGGCGTTGTTGCAAAGACTGGATCAAGATTATTTACTGTAAATAATTTTTTTGTTTTGTTTTTGTCTGTTGTTTCGTTAATTAATTTTTTTTTTTTATATTTAGAAACATGAATTAACAAATTCAGCAATGAACAAAGAACGTTTCTCATTTAGTGCAGCGGTGTTTATGTCAATTATTGGACTTGGATTATCGGTCTTTAGCACAAATCAAATGTTACTCGCCTCGGCATCCACACGATCTATGCTGACCAAATCCCAATAAATTCCTTCACATTATTTATATTAAATTTGTCTCTGTGTTTTCCTTTATTGTATACTTCTATGCATACTTAAAAAGATTATTTTCTTCAAATAATATGCAAGAAAGAGACAATAAATAAATCAATAGTAAAAATTCATTTTCTTGTCTTTAATTTTCTAGAATTAGTTTTTGCCTTTCTATAATAAAATTAAAATATAAAGCGAAAACATTAAAGTCAAAATGATTTATCTATTGATTTATTTTAGTAGTAATCAAAGCATTGTAACACCCTTCTTTGATTTAAATAAAAACAAATAATGTGAAAAAATTAATTATTTCACTAAGAATATTTTTTTTTTCTACAAACAAATAAACATCATCAACAAAATCGAAACATTAATATTATTCATGACAGTTCAATATGATCATTTCATTTACAAGAAAGAAAAAACAAAACGAGAGCAACAAAAGTCGTTCAATTCATTTGTTGATGCAACGAATCATCGAATGGAAAATTAGCTAAATTTAAAAAAAAAAGTATTTTTCAATATTCGATACTAATACAATTGTCTTAGATATTTGTTTTTTTTTTTTTTAGTAATTAGTTAAAGATGAAATTTGATTTTGAAAATGACAAATAGTTAACATATTTTGAGGAAGATTGATGCCATGGAAAAGAAAAATAAGGTACCGAACAAGCAAAATAACATATTGCGCATTTCTTTTTCTGCTTGCCATTAATCAATGGCAATAATCTTATGTCTGTCTCGTATTTTTTTTTGCCTTTATTGTTTGTGTACAAACATGTTTTTGGTAGGGACAATTCAAGGTCACACGACAAAAAAATGCACATTCCGTAAGTATTTTGTTTTTCTAATAAAATCAAGCAAATAAAATTACAATAAGATTATATCAAATAATTGAAGATTTTATTTAACATACATGTACTAATACACACATATTACTATAGAAGTATTTATTATTAAGTATATTGATTCAATCAGCAATGACCTGACCGAGAAATGTCGAGTGTATAATCCTTCTCTTTCCTGACAACTAAGAAAATTTCTTATGTTTTTCTTCTATCAGAACCAAAAATTTTTCGTGCGTTCTCTCAGAAAAAATCATGAGACTCTTTCCTGTTCCACAATATCAACTGAATCGGATTCAATAAATAATAAATGCAAAAAATAAAATTTAGTTGGAATTTTAAACTTTAATTTAATACTCTTATTGATAATTAGACAAGGTTTTTTTTTGTCATTTCATTTGTAGTTTATTCTATTAATGAACATTTCAAATGTTGATTTTTTCATTTAAGAAAAAAAAAAGATTTTTTTTGCATTGTTTTTACATATTTTTAAGACAATGATTTCTTTTTCTTAGTTAAATTCTCTCGTTTAAGATACTCAATTTTTTCAAGAAAAAAAATAAATCAGTTCAAAAATATTTTTCTTTTTTTTTACACAGATGATTTTAGACGTTTCTATTAAAAATATAGAACACATGAATATTCTTAAAAGAAAAATTCTGTTTTGATAATTGAAAACAAAAACCGACGTTCAACAGAATGTTTTCGTTCGATTCCATTATATATTTTTACGAGAAAATTTATTGAAATAAAAACAATAATCAATATTATTTTCTTATTTGAATTCGATTATTTTCACAAGTCAAAGAAAATCTTTTTGACATTTCAAACGAAAATATTCTATATTTAGAAAGAATTTTATCATCAATAAAAATTTTCAAATAATTTTAAATCTCAACAGTTTTTATGGAATTTAAGTAAAGATTTTATGTTTTGCCAAATGTTTCGTTTGTTTTCAAATTTTTCTCATATTCTTTTTTTTTATCAAATTACAAATAAAACTTCTTAATAAAGTGAATCAATACTATCATTTTTTTATTTATTTATCTATCCTAGTCAAATTGATAAAATTTTATACAAAAAAAAAACAAATAAATAGTTAAATATACTTATTTATTACTTTTTATATTATTATATATATCAGTTAGATATACTAAGATTGAAACTATATATTTTTTTACTTAAATTACAATTTTTATTCATATTTATTCAATAAAATTACCTAACACATTAAACTAGTTATATGATTAACTATTATCACGATAATCAATCGTCGAATGTTTTTCAAATCATTTTTTAATTATAAATGTAAACGACACACTTGTTTATCAAATAGTCGAATATCATAAATAAATGAATCAATTTGATACATATCACTTGGTTGTGTATAATGAAAACTAATTGTAGTTTCACTTAAAGCTTCATAACCCTATTTTAAATAAAATAATAGAAAATAAAAGAAAAGAAAAAAAAAACATACAAATATAGTATGATGAAAAGGTCTAAAATGAATCCATTCTCTTTTAGTTTTATTTGAAGGTCCATTAAAATGAACACGAAAAGCAAGTGGATGAAATCTTTCTCTTCCATGTTCATCAATTGTTTCTCCAACTAATGTTAAATCTTTTTTTATATGAAAAGGTACTAATTGAAGTATTTTTTGTAAACATTGTCCCACCATCATATCTTCCATTGATGATTTACATTCAGAATATATTGAATCATTTTTAATATATGAAGATAATAAATCAACTGCTTGACGTGTTAATACATATCCAGCACCTCCACTTACATAGTAATCTTCACGAAATCGATAACCATATAATAGTGGTTTTGGATATCGTCTATTAAATATACAAAATATATTTAATTAAATAAATATAAATATCTCTAATATATTACTTAATGGTACTAATCAAAAATCGAAGTAAATTTTCTACAATAATATAAGTATCATCATCTGCTTTAAGATACCAATCATAATTTGGATAATATTTATTAAAAAAAATAAGTGATGCACGAACTTTATCTGATAAATGTGAATAAGTTTCATCTGGCAATGTTGGAATATTTTCTATTGGCAATTCACATTTTCCAACAGATTTTCCATTTTCATTTTTACATTTTATAGAAGAATTTAATCGAGTAACTAATACAAATCGACCACATCGACGTCCCCATGTTTCATATACAGCACGAGCTCGATTTTCCAAATTTGCTTCATTTGTTAATACAAAACAAAAAAGACGAGAACGATATTTATCAACTAAACAATTATTATAATTTATTTCTGAAATTTTTATTAATAAGTTAAACTTACGCCAACAAGTTTCTCTTCTTGTTAACATAATCAATTTAAAAATTAACAAAATTATTCCAAAGAAAATTATTAATCGCATAGATTGAACAGATGTTGAATACCATAAATAATAACATCGTCGTCGAATATTTAACTTAAATATCATTATAGTACTTTAAAGAAAAAGAAAAAGAAAACGAAAAAGAATACTTGTAAAAGAAAAAAGTAACGATGCGCTTCAATAAACTCATAACGTAAAATCAAGTGACAGCCTTTGTTTGTTCTCTTTACATAATAAAATCACACAATTAATTATAAATTCATATATTGCGTCTTATACTAACTAAAAATATATCGATACTTTTTTGCAATCCTAAACATGATCGTACGATATAATAGCAAACTGTGATGTAAGTGAGTATTTCTACTTGTCGAAAAGAATATTTGTTGCTATGTTTTTATTCGTGAACATTATTGGTATATTATTAGTTTGAAAATATTTATCCAACTGAACAAAACAATTTGATGATGCACACAATAAAACGTTTTCAATATAAGAAAAGATGTTGCATAAGATGTTAACAAAATTATTCGTATTGACTTTCGTGCGAATAAACTATATAGGAACTATATTCTATCTGAAGCCGACACATAAGTTAATACTTGCTGTAGAGTCATCAAGATATCTATAGTTGTCAGTAATTCCATAAAAATGGACGAAACTACTAAAAACATTGCTTTTGCTTTCACATTAGTCTTTGTAACTTGAGACCACATTCTTTCATTATAAAAAAGAAGAAACTGAAATGATCTCTTTTTTTCATTTTGAGCAACTGAAGGTTCTGTCGCAATAGTAACAGCTATGACGTGTATCACTAAAATTACGGTGGCGATTATAACATCAACAACAACAGTTGCTCTTCTACTCTTAAGCTCAACTAGCTGTAAAGATCTGCCTGTTGTGTCTACACACATTTCAGTGCGATAGAACTATCAGAACATATTCATCGATTCCATATCAGTTTTTAATGGAACATCGGTTCATGAACTGATCTTTGTATTAAACCATGGGCGGCGCATCAGCAAGCAACGAGTTAGCAATTGCTTCCCCTAAAAAGAATTTGGAGAAGCAATAATTTTTTATTGCTTTCCCTAATTGTTTATGTTTTATCCGTATGTTATTTCTCCATGTTTTCTGAACTTTTGATTATCAAGCAACTTCAATTTGTACTTCTTTCTGCTTTCGCCCATAATCACCGTATAAGAACGTACTCATGAAGAGAACAACTAGCTGCTAACATAAATAGTTAAGTAAACAGTTTTCATGAGAAGACCGCAATATTTTCAATTGATTCTTACGTTTATAGTTTTATCAAGAAGAAAATAGCTGTTAAAATGGCAGACAATCTTTCACATGAGTATCAACTCGAAAACCAAATGACTGGTGAGCGAACGGTAATAACAAAAAAAACTTGAGTTTTGCTAACTCGTTCTGAATACATCTGTTCTCAATAAAAACGTTACACTACGCCCAAGCTCTGGCCTTTCTCCTGAAAAATCGATTCCAGGGCCAAGTACATTCAAATCGTCTGAAATTTTCAGACCATGTTGAGACTGACGTGGGGACACTATGGTAAAATTGTCAGCCCTGTACCATGATGTTTGATAGAGATATGTACCAAACAAGGGCAAAAAATAGCTCATTTTGCAACCCATTTTTCTCTGTCCGGACCCTTTCAACACATTAAATGTTTTTTTGTTTGAAAGAGTATGTCAGGATATAGGGCAGTACAGAATCCTTTTTTAAAAAATCTTACTTTTTAAGCGGAGAAAAGAGATCACAAGTTCAATAATTCAGAAAATCCTCTAAAAATGGGCACCAATTTACATAATTGTTTGCATATATAATAAAAAACAAAGCTTAATTAAAAAATGACTCTGTGATGCCCTAAATTTTGACGTCCTCTTTCAAACAAAAAGAAAATTAAAAATATTGAATGAGTCTGGACAAAAAAATGGGATTGCGCGTGTGCAAAAGTATAGTTTGAGAAAAGACGAAAAATATTTTCCGCTTTTTCTGAAAAAAGCCTGTTCCTGTTTTTTTAAGAAGTGAATGATAAATTTCATCAAAATTTTTGCCCCAAAACTGGATGTCGATTTAAAAACCATTTTGTTTTCGAAACAGCAGAACACGGGCTATTCCTCCATGCATTTATCCTAGTTTTAATTTTTTTGACAAAAATTGACTTTTTCTGAGGCGAAAGGCCTTCATATACTCTGAAATAAATGAATATGCAGACTTCAGATGCTATATCTTTGAGAAATTAATTTCTAAAAATACTTTTACTGCCGAGCTTTGAGGTATGGCTCGGAGAAGCATATGGTCTCATTCTAGAGCTTATTGCTTCCCCTAAAAAATTGAGCTTGCACCGCTCATGCACTAAACTATGTGTGTGGCAAAATCTGTCCCTTCACTTTTCTTCAAATTAATATTTTTCAATTTCATTTCTTCCAGTAAACTTTAAAAGTTTCACAATCAGTGCTTGGATTTGATTATATAAGGCCTTCCGATAGAACAAGGATTCAAGTATCGCAAACTCTGTCGACAAAATGTAACTCAAGAGTGTTTTTAATACGGCCATCATTTCGCATTGACCCGCGTATCATCTATAGACTATTTTGATTTCTTGAAAATTGACAGTAGAATCTTCGACGATTCTTGAGTAGGTTCAAACGGCTTCAATGTAGCATCTGACACCTGGCTTGTTTGAAGTATTTATAATCTGATCTGAAACCCATACTTTGAAATAAATAATTTTCGAATACCAACTGTATATCTTTAATATGCATCTGTTCTTTTCTCCGACTGATTTTCCTACAAGCAGTTTTATTGAGTATGCTGAATACATAACGAAATTTTTGATATTTAAAATTTGTCTCAAATCGCAACGTCACTCTGTCAATAGTCGCTACATTATAGTTCATGCAACTTGAGATCCTGAGTCCCGTTGCATATGAGCAGACAGTTCTTCTGAAATATTAATACTATTTGACAGTTATAAATATGGAATGAACTAATCTGAACTTTGTATAGACTGTTGATCCAAAATAACCATATTCGTTGAAATTTGTCGTACTTCCGAATATTTCTACCTTAATATAACGAATAGAACATAAGAAACTCGACACTTTTATCTTCATTTTAACGACGAAGTGTAAGTTTTGGATGCGTTAATATTTTTATTGTAAACTTTCAAAATATGAATGCAACATGATTACAGGCATAGGGAGCGTTTACGTTTCTAAAGAATACATGTCTCACGAACCAAAAACTTGAAGCTAATATCTAAACTTCATAGTTTAATTGTTTATGTATACGCAAAGAAGAAATATTTTAGTGTTTACTAAAAGCTACATCAGCCAGTTGACAATGACAAAATAAATAAGTACGATATTTAAAATTCTTAATGTAATTATTATTATTTCTCATTTCTTGTTCGACAGTTTTTTCAGATTATTTCACGAATTCTGGTCCAAAATATTATGCCTCAGTGAATGTATAAAATTACGTGTCACAACAATTTTGTTCAAAGAAAGTCAACCAATTTAGTTCAGCAATGCATCGTCTATCTAGCTACAAGTATTTAGCTGTTTTCTCTCGTATAATAATTCACCTTTATTTTTTGTTTCTTTGAAGTTTAATAACTACTGTCTCAAGAAACTCTCGATGAATCTTTGACTTTCGTATTAGATTGGTCATAAATTTTCGTGTAGGTATGATATGTATTTCTTTTTACTTTCCTCAATTGATAGTCGTATAGTCTCACATTTTTCAAATGCAACTATCATGAAACCATCTTAACTTTTACATCAACAATCAAACTTTTGTGATTATATTAGCAGCAACATGAGCAAGAAGCTGATCACGAACATATCATTCCTTATTAGAAAATGTATTATAGTTATGAGAACAATAGATGGCTCACGTGCATACTCGCCAAAACTGTCCATAAATCATGTATGCACTATTTCTATTAAATTAAGTATTTTCAGCGATCATTATATTTCAAACTTCATTTGACTTGACGACACTTATCTCACTGAATTTTTAATAAGGATTTCGTTCATTATACTAGGAGCACCTGTTCATTCAAAAAGACACTTAACTTCTTTTAATTCTTTCTTTTAATTATTTTTGAAAGAAAACTATCTGATAAGAAAATAGCTTTTATTAAAAATAGTTTTGTACAACTTTAACTTCAGAAAAGATTCTTCATTGAATTTCTTATCCAAAACGTCAAAATAGTTGTTTTCTAGGATTGGGATAACCGATAATAGTATTATATCTTTTGAAAATAATATGAAACTAAATCCATCATGCTGTGGAAATTATATTTTGAGTTCGAACGGGACACTTGTGAAACTTTAATCGTACATGCATAATTTTCTTGTTAAAATTTGTAGAATCGACACAGTACATGTGATTCTCTTTGACACATAATTTTAAACGAATATATCTTTTCTTCTTCAAAGACGGTTATAATATTGAAAATGAAATGAACCTAATCTTGATAATTGTCATTATATAGTTATTTCAAGAATGATAAAGTTATATAATATTAGTTTTATAGATACCAAAACATAAGATAGGTGTATTTTCATTGCCGACTAATGTTAGACTTCATTTTCAATATTGCATGAGTTGGTCAACGCTTAATGATCAAGTTCAATGTTTATTGATGATGTTTAATATTAGGAGTAACATTTAATTGCCCTTATACTTTAATTCGCTACAAAAAGTAAGCAACAGAAATATTCTTTAAAAAAAAATACGAAGCACTTTTAAAAAATTGTTTTATGTACTGTACCGCTTGGACTAAAGCAAATCCATCGCTGAGATACGCTTGAGCATCATTTTTATCATGTACGATTTTCTTTCCTGATTTTGTATAAATGTGAAAAATGACATAGTTGTCGAGATATCATCAATATGAATACCTTAGTGCATAGAATGATGGGCAGCAATAAAAAGCCAATTTAAGGCTGTTTTGTCATTGAAATTTTGGTAGTCTTCTTGCAACTCTTTTTATTTCTTGTTCAGATATTAATGTAAAAGGCAACACGACACATATATTTCTTTTTCTTAACACTAAATAGATAATAGAT